ATTTTTTATTCTCAGCTTCCAACTGCACCGAGAACCCTCACATCTCCAAGTTCTCTCGGCACTCCCAAAATACACGCACAATAGAGCACATGTATTTAATATCAGAAACTCCTTTATGAGGCTGGTGGCAGCGATGGAACCAACCCACCCAAGAGGTCAACCCACTTCTCATAGTCTTTTCACTCCACTTAAGAGCAGATAGATTTTAAAGATAATCCAAACTGATAAAAATTCTGATAGCACAGAAATGAATAAAAGAGAAGACAAAAGGCCTCTGTACTGGGGGTACAGCTCTAGGGATGGGGGAAGGGTCAGGTCTGTGAGCTACACACATTAATTAGTAGGTAATAAAAACCAGTTATTTTACCTTTTGAAGTGCCGGATCCGACATACATTTGGCCTTGCGTTGGCCTCTAACCTCCTCTAATCCCCTCTTTCAGAATCGACACCAATTTCCTGCCACTACCTCACCCCCCCTCCTTTTGACAGTGCAATTCTTTCAGCACCTTCTATGGGATTCTAGAATTTTTAATGTCGCTTGCAGTCCCACTCGACACTGTCTTGTTTTCTCATTTTCTCTCCTTGGCAAACAAACACCAAGTGGGCCGGGTGGTGACCCTGGCTCCCAGGGGCCAGCCCGGCAACCGCGTGCTATTCAGGACCCGTTTCCTTGGGAAAATGCTTCCTGTTCTCCCGTCAGGCCGGGGCCTCTCTAAGCTCAGTTTCCGCCCTGCCGGCACGAGCTCCCCGCGAGTCCCATCTGCCCTGTCACTAAGGCAGACTCTGGGAGCAGGGGCCCGGGGCCCGCCTGTCCGGGTACCCTCCTGGTTCTGACACGCCCTAGGTGTGTGCCTTCTGGAAAGTTAGGCAACGTAAATGAGCTAACATATGGGAAGCGCTTAGAATGGCGCCTGGCCCGTAGGAAGCACTGGGGGAGATTAGCCCAGACGGGCACTGGCGCCCTGGCCGGGCGGCGCAGTTGGTGAGAGCATCGCCGCCCTATGCCGGGGTCGAGGGCTGGACAACCGGTCGGGGCACATGCAAGAGGCAATCAGGGGATGCATAAATATGTGGATCAACAAATCGATGTTTCTCTTTCTCTCCCTTCCTCTCTCTGCCTCTAAAATCAATAAATAAAAACTAAAAAAATAAAATAAAATAACATAAAGGCAGCGGCCCCTAGTTCTAGGAGGCTGCAGTCAGACCCTTTGAGTCTGAACAAAGCTATGGGTCTTTTCCTTAGAAAAGCGCACACACGTGTAATTCTTTGCACAGCTGTAGGTGCCTCTGAAGTCCATCCACAGACTGCAAGGCCTATGGACCCCTGGGTTCAAGACCTTGGGTCCTCCCTACAGTGATATGAGATCAGGGACGACAGGCCATGACGATTCTTCAAGTATTTTATTCACGTGTGTGAACTGTTCAGTACGTCCCTCCCACCCTCGTTTTGGATCCCCATTGGGTAGAAATGGTAACTTTTCTTCCCCAAGGCCCTTTTGACCCTGGCCCGTTTTTCTTTCGCTTCAGGCCAAATCCTCCCCAGTCGCCTTAAGACAACCTGTGTGCAACCAAGCTCCACACACTTTTAGTGAATTATTCTGTTCCTTGTCCAAAGCTTTAATGGTCTAGCCTCTCTTCATCGCTTCCAGAAGTCAGGCCACAGCATGGATGAGAGTGGCCAGGCCCCCACCAAAGGCACCTTCGCGGCAGCCGTCATGTAAGCCCTTGTCTTCAATAAACCCGGCGGCGGCAGAGCCCAGGACCAGAGAAGCCAGAAGGAACCTGTGACCTGATCTAATTCCCTCGTTACCCACAGCGGTGACTTGCCCGAGGTCACCCCGCTCATGCACAGCAGAGCCGAGAACCTCCCAGTTCAGAACTCTGATTCCATCAGCATTTCTCAGACATTGCCCTGCACTCCACTCCTGCTAAAATGCAGGCTCTGCAGGGCTGACACGGGGCCTGAGAGTCTGCATTTCCGACGAGCTCCCAGGAGACGGTGATGCCAATGGTGCAGAGGCCACAAGGGAGCAGCTAGGGTGTAGGTCAAGGTTAATGGACGGTCCCACCCTGGTGAAAGCGTCTCCACCCACCCGTCCTGTGGCTGTTTAAATGCCCTTTCTCCCGAAAGGCCTCCCTTCCCCTTCCTCCCTGACCGTCAGCTCCCAGGGCCTCTGTACTTTTTCCTTTGAAGCACTTGCAACAACGGTAATTAAAGAGCATTTGTGTAATTATTAGTTTAATGCCTGTCTCCCAGGGAGACTGCAAGCTCCTCGCGGACGGGACCGGCTCAGCGACTGGGAAATCACAGGCTGTCAATAAAAGGATAGCTGCTGGGGTCTGGAACAGCCTGGCCCAGCCTCCTGCAGGAGGTGGGCGTGGTTTACACACCTTCTGTCAGCCTCAAGGACAACAGGAACAAACCAGCTTTAAAATTCCCACGGGTCCCAAATACAGGACAACCCTAATTTAAGTTGAAAAGCATATTCCCCCTCACCCCCCCCCAAAAAAAGTTTTACTAAATTTTTATCAAGTGAGAAACAGTCTCGATCTGGTACGAATCACTCTGCTGAGGAAACAGCGAAGCCTCCCAAATAAGCGCCACCCTTAGGGTCATCACAGGGTGTGTGGTCCTCAGGCACTGAGAGGGCCCTGGCTGTGAAAGTGGGGGGGGGGGGCCCGCTCCCTGACCAGCCTCGCTCCTCTGAGCACCAGCCATTTTTTTTTTTAAAGATTTTATTTATTTATCTTCAAAGAGCGGGGAAGGCAGGGAGAAAGAGTGAGAGGGAAACATCAATGTGTGGTTGCCTCTTGTGCACCCCCTGCTGGGGACCCGGCCTGCAACCCAGGCCTGTGCCCTGACAGGGAATTGAACCGGTGACCCTTTGGCGTGCGGCCAGCGCCCAATCCACTGAGCCACACTAGGTAGGGCCAACAGCTTCTTTTCCAGTTTTTCTGCTGCCACCCTTTCAAGAAGCCCCAAAACTCTGAATACCCACTCCTCCATGTGGGCAGAGATGTCTGACCTCGTCGTCGTTCTAGGCAAAGTTTGCAGTCAGTCTGCCTGGGTTCAGACGCCAGCTCTGTGCCCACGGACGAGTTACCCAACTCCCCTGTGCTTCAGCTTCTCAGTCTGCCAAATGGAAACAACAGCGTTGCAGCTAGCAACCGCAGGGACTAAGAGCAATGATCTTCATCGCTTAGCCAAGCCTGGCCCAAGGTACATATGTATTATCATTCTCCCATATCCAGTCCTCACTATTGTTTTGCACAAGTCTCCACCCATTGGCTCCACCCCATTCAGGGTTTACTCCCCCCAGCTCCGTACCTGCCGAGAGCTTGCAAGAAGCAATGACTCACTGCAAAACTCCGCGGCTCCCTTCATCAATCACCTCCCTGTCCCTGCGTCCTTGCATCATTTGTGGGTCCCTTCTGGGAGGGAAATCTTTTGCCTAATAGCCAGTACATTTACTCACAACAAGTATTTATCGAGGGCTCTGTTCTAGGCACAGGGACATCGCAACAGACAAAGACAGACCTCTACCCTCCTGAAACGATGCTGTACAAGGAGCTCTAATCCACCAAGAGGGCTCAGATTCTCACATTGCCACCTTCTCCCCAGATCAGCCCTAAATAAATCACAAGTACCAAAGCATGAAGAAAGCATCCCAGAATTTAAAAAAAAAAAAAAAAAAGTGTTAAGTGTGACTTGGAAACAGCCTGTGGAACTGGTAGACTTTGAAAAAGCCCATGTTAAAACAGCCAGAAGCACCTGCCCCCAGCAGTCACACGGCCGGTCAAATCCGCCAGGACAGTGTAATGCAGTTGGAAAATAAGGCTCCATTTACCTGTCTCACGCACGGAGCATCTGCCCATGGTTTCAGGTTCTCAAAGCCAGGTCCCTTGGAAGGGCTCCCCAGCAGGCCGGGACGCAGCGTCCTCGCAGGAAGAGCACTGGAAAGGGACTCGAGAGGCTCAGGGTCTAGCATCGAGCGCTGGCTCTGCCGCTTACTGTGGGCCTCCAGGCACGGAGCTGGCCTCCTGCCTTGGTTCCTTTTAGACAACCTCTAAGATCCTCTTCTGGCTTTGAAATCCAAGGGCTGGGATCAGCCACCAGTAAGAGGAGACTTCGCAGATTCATGGGTCCCTTAATTCAACAAAATGAGCCCCCCGCCCTGGGATTGGGGAGGGGGTAAGCAAGTCAGATGGGGAGCCCGTGGGGCGCACGCTCGGAGAGACACCTGCCTCCTCCAGTGCTCACTTCCTCACGGCTAATGTCCACCTCGCGCCTCCCAGGCACAGCTCCGATAGAAGTATCCCTGGGCCACAAGGCAAACCTAAAATAGAAGTTGTACGAAATCTCTGGTGGTTCCACACATCTCCCTTCCTCCAACTCAAAAACCACTCCAGGTCTTGCCTATCTCCTTGTCTCCAGACAGCGAGCTTAAAAATAAGGCTCACCGGTTGGAATGGAAACGACCCAAGTACAGAACCACTGACCTGCTGGCCATACACTGCAGGCCAGACTCACCCCAGGGTCTGCTCTGAGAAGAGAGAGATTCTGCCCCCACGTCACCTCCCTGCGTCTCCCTCCACAGGCACACAGGTGAGCCTGGAGGGAAGAAAACGAGACCCAAATGTCCAACGCCCCCTACCCAACTGCCAGCAGCCCACACGCACTGCCCTCACGGAGGAAAGCCACGTCCCGCAGGTTACCAGAGCCCTAATTCCACAGGAACTACAGGTGACCAATTAAGAGGTCCTGTTCCAAGACTGGCAGGTGCCTGGCACAGGGCGACACTTGGCCAGAGCGCCACCTGATGAAACCACCCGAAAAGCTCTAGAAAATAACATTGACTTTAAAACAAGTGAGAAAGGGACAGCCATACTTAGTTTCCAAAATCAAAACCAGACAGGCCCACGGCTTTGACCACTAACACAAAAGATTCATTTTCTAACCTCTGGGGACATTTAGCAGGGGAGTGTCTGGCCCTCCTCACCTGGCGCAGTAGGTCTTCTGAAGGCCCTCTACTTGGCAGACGCAAACTCTGTTTTTACTTACACGTACTCAAAGGCAGGACTGAAAGAGTGGCTTCAAAGTTGGCTGGGTGACCCTCAAGGGTGCAAAGTCCTTCTGCAAACACCTGTGGGGAAATTTTGCAAATTTCCCAGGAGCCCACTGGAACTGGCTTTGTCCCCTCCAGATCGAAGCTGGCTGGGAGTTAGGACACTCGGCCAGCAACTCCAGGGAGGTCCAGGAGGGTGGTACCTCCCTGGAACGCCGAGCACCGCACAGGGTCCCCGTGGAAAGGCAGTGCGGCTAAAGCTGCGCCTTGCCCCAACCATCGCGGTGCTTAGAGAGACATTAATGACCGTTTTGGGTTAGTTAAAACCCACGCAAGCACCTCCCTGGCCTCTTAAATCTTCCCAAACTACAGCTCAGACTGGAGGCAAGCAGTGGCAGCGACCATAAAAGTCATCTTAAAAGGCAAGTTGGGAGGGAAAAAAAAAACAACCCGATACGCACTAGTTAGCAAGTCCGCTGTTGGGGGGGCGGTGGCAGAGGGCTGGATCTGCGCGCCCGGGTAGAGACGCAGGGCCCCCGAGCCCACCTGGCAGCCTCGAGGCCCCCAATCTGACGCCGACGATCACACCCCCCATCTCTGTCCAATTAGGAAAATGACCGCGAGGAGACGTTAAGAGTGGGCGACGAGGAAGGGGGACTGAGACTCAGGAGACTACGGACAGGCCCGTGGGGATCCGGCCAGCCGGAGAGCGTCTTCAACAGGTTCCCGGCTGGGGCGCCCCGACGCCGTTCCGGCGGGGGTCCCGCGACGCACGGATGCCCTCAGGGACCCCTGCGCCCCCGGAGGCGCGCTCCGCCCTCCCCCACCCCGGGTGTCGGGGACGCGCAGCCACCCCACCCGCCCGGAGAGTAAAGTTTGTGGGCAGCCGAGGGGCGGGGCGGCGCGACTGGGGGGTGAAACTTTGAGTCCCGGGCGGGCGGCGGGGGGAGCGCGCCGGCGCCGGGACACCCACGTGCAGGGCCCCAGAGCAGCCGCCGCCGCCGCCACGGCCCGGGCCTCCCGCGCGGCCGCCGCCACCGCGGCGCTTTCCTTTCATTTCTGCTTCTCTCTCTCTCTCTCTTCCTCTCTCCTCCGTCTCTCATTCGCGCGCTCTCCTCCCTCCCTTCCCCCTCCTCCTACCCCCCCCACCCCAGACGCCATCTCTCCCTCTTTCCCCGCTCTCCCTCTCTTCCTCCAGCTCGCCGGCAGGAGGGAATGTGGAAGTGAAAGGGAAAGACGACATGTTTGCGGCGCTGCGCGGGCCTGCGCGCGGCCGTCCCCGGGGACTGGCGGGGGGCGGGCCGGCCCCGGCCGCAGCGACCCACCCCCGCGCCCCCTGCGCCCCCGCCGCCGCCGCCGCCCGCCCGCCCGGGGCTGCGGGGCCGGGGCCGCGCGGGACACTCACCCTGGTCCGGGCGCGGCTCCTGGGCTGGGGCCCTCGGCGGGCCGGGGGCTCCTTCTGCCCACCGCCCGGGCTGCTGCTGCGCGCCTGCCGCCGCCGCCGCCTCCACGCGCGCCCGCCGCCCGCTCCGCCGCCCGCCCTCCGCGGCTCTCTCTCTCTCTCTCCCTCTCTCCTCTCTCTCTCTCTCTCTCTCCGTCTCCCTCTCCGTCTCTCTCTCCCCCAGTCTCTCTCGCTCTCGCGCTCGCTCTCTCTCCTCTCCCTCCCTGGAAGAAGGGAATGAGGCAGGGCTGACGCGGAGGGATGCAAAACAGCTCCTCCTAAGCCAGCTCGCAGAGGAAGAGAGGCAGAAAAGCAGCCCTTTTATCTCTCTTTTGTTTTCTCACTTCCTTCCACCCCCCCCACCCCCTCCTGTCAGCCCAAGTTTTCTTTTCTCTTTCCACCGCAGACAGGATTTTTTTCTTCCTCTCTTTCTCTGCCTTTCGGTTCAACTCTCCCACTCAAATGGAAAGCCTGGAGGGTTTTCGGCCCCCCCTCCCGTTTTTTTTTCTTCCCTCTTTTCTTCCTTCTTCCTCCTTTCTTATTTCTCTAAAAGGGTTTTGTTGGCTGTGGGAGTTTCGTTTGAAAATCAAGTCACGCCTTTTTTTCCTCCTTTTCTTTCTCTCTCTCTTTTTTTTTTCTCCTCTAAGAAAAGGGGAACAAAGATGAAGTGAAGCGGGGGAGAGGGACAGCGGCAGCGCCTCGCATGGAAATGGGGGGCCCGGCCCAGCACAAAGGGGCCCCCGGGGACTGCGCGCCCCCCCCAGCCCCGGGGAAGCCTGGGGCGTCCTAGGGAAGGGGAGCCGGGGGATGGGGGGCGCGGCTCCGGGTGCCGCCCAGTCGCCCCTCCCCGGCCCGAGGTGGAAGGCTGGGTGTGTTCTTTACTCCTGTATTTTTAAAGTAGGCAGATGGGCTTGGAACAGACGTCCCCGCACCGCGCTGAACTGTAAAAGAGCCTTGAAACAGCTGTTGGCAGAGCCCTGGACAGCCAGGCTCGAGGGAGCGGCGCCGGGCGGCGAGCGCGCGCCCAACCCGCGTGGGGACAGTGCTAGAGGGGCCGGGGTCGTCCCCTCGTGGACCCTCCAATCCCTGGGCCTGGGCCTGGGCCCCGCTGCACTGCTGGGGGCGCCGAGGCGTGGCCGTTTGTTTGCAACGCAGGGTCAGGCCCTCGCGCCTCCCTGCAGGGGTCTTGGCACAGACTGGCCTCCGTCCAGCTCACGAGCGGGCCGGACCCTCGGCCTCCAACCAGCAAGGCCCACCTCTCGGAGCCGCGTCTTGACTCCGAGGCCGTCCTCGGAACAGAGCCGGGCAGAGCCACCACGAAGGGTCAATTATTCATGGGGCGCCTGGGCGCGCTCCCAAGACCTGCTCTGCCCTCGGCTTCTCTGGGGAAGTGGGGAGAAGACGGGGGAAAAGTTCCCAGAGCAAAGTTGGTCACATTTCTCATTTTCCCAAGTAAGTATTGAGCACCTGCTGGATGCCTGGGACTCGGACTGGGGCTGCCGCCAGGGGCTGGGGAAAAAAACGTGAGGTCTCCGTGGGCCCTCCCCCCGGAGTTTCCGCAGGAAACAATGCCTGAAAAGGCTGCAGCTCAAGACCTAGTCAGGGAGAGGAAGGAAAGCCTGGATCCTTTCGCCTCCCGCCTCTCTTCCTTCTCTTCCTTCCTCCCGGCTGCATCTCCTTGGCTCCACCCCTTCTCATCAATTCCTCCCACACTTCCCTGCTTTCCCTGGCTTTTCACTAGAGGGTCCCTTCTCCCAGCGAGGAGCAGATGCTGAGCCCCATTGTCTCTCCCCCAGTGACTGCAGCCTCCCCGGACCGACCTGCCACTCTTCACCCCTCCCCCCAGCCAGGAGGCCTGGGCCTTTGGAGACTGGAGCCCCAAGGCCACTGCCCCTCACCCCACCCTAAACCAGCTCCTGGTGTTGTGAGCAATGACTTCAGTCACTCAGAACATGATTTGTTTCTGACTGGGAGTGAGAAAACAGAAGCCAGAGACTTGGCTTGAGCGAAGAGGACACGGACACCGTGGCTTTAATGTCAGCGCACTGAGCCCCCCCCCATGGCCCCAGAGCCTGCGCCCACTATGCCCTCTCACTAGGAAGCCACATATTTGTCATTTTGTATCCTCCTGCTTAGTGCACCTAAGCTGCATCCTTCAAACAAAGCAAAACGCAGCTCTGATAGACAAGCATTCATGTAACATGCTTACTGAGCACCAACTCTGTGGCCCGCTGTTGTGCTGGGTGCAAAGGACCACCAACGCACCTGGTCCTCCATTCGGCCTTGCCAGCCGGGGTAGAAGCAAGAAGACAAGCAACCACAGTGCCAGGTGATGCATGTAAAGAGGAACCAAGGAAGCATCGAAGTGGTAGCTCTGACTAGGGTGGTCAGGGATGGCTTCCTGGAGGAGGTTGCAACTAGATGAGTAGGTCTGTGCCAAGCAAGAGCAGGGGAAGGCACAGCTTGTCCAAGGCCCCCAGGTCAAGAGAACACATTCTTACAGATTCTTGGACCTGCCCCAAGTGTTCGCTGCAGCGTGGAGTGCACGCGGGGGAGTGGGGAGTGAGGGCGGTGTTAGGGCACAAGTGGCGGAGGGGCGAGCAGGGAGTGTGACCGGGTGTCAGCGGGGGAGGGCAGCGGGTACCAGGGAGGTGTTCAGATTCCAGCCTCCTGCACTTGCTAACTTCATGAACTCAGGTGAATAAAGCCTCAGTGAATAACTTAGACTTAGTCTTCCCACTTATAAAACGGGGCAAAGGAGGTCGGTGGGCTGCAGGGAAGGCGCCTTCTGTTGAAGGGCCTGGGCTTCCTTGCTGCCTATCCTTGGGCAGGTTGAGCTCTCTGGGTCTCTTTGTTTTCTCCTCTGTTAAATGGGGGTGAAAACACCTGTCTCATGGGGTTGTTGCGAGGCTTAAATGCACCCATGCACAGCGTGGTGTCTGGCACATAGCATTGATACATGGTGGCTTCTATTCATTAGTTTTATAAATCAGGGAAGTGACAGGGAGGTATCTTCACAGCCTTAAAATGAGACGATGTTCTGGGTTGAAACCAGAATGACTCACCATGTCAGAAACGAGCCAGCTGTGGAGGAAAGATTCCCTGTGTCCCACCAGGTGGCCTGGATGGGGAACACCTACATCTCATTGCGGGTGGCCACGGTGCTATCTCAGGAGCGTGACGGGGATATGGAGGCTGGTTACGAGGCCTGGCCTCGTCCGTGGAGTAGCAGCCTGCCTGGGGAACGAACAGAGATCAGAAAGAGGGTCCCTAGGAGCAGGTACCTGGCTGAGTTTGCTCAGCGGAGAGAAGTAGATGCAGACATTCACCCTGCAGGAGGGGTTACTGACTCCTCCGGAGCCCGATGTAAATCTTAGTCCTTTGCTTGGGTTCCACATTCTCCAAGCAACGTGCAGATGAACTTGGCACCAGCAAATGCCCCCGGGATCCGGGCACACCAGCGTTCCAGGTCCTGCATGGTAAACATTCTACACATCTATTATTTCTGTATGACACGTTTGTTGTGAAAGAATTGGAAAGTCAGCTAAGCAAAACGGAATAGGAACCCCCACAGAGGCATTATAGCTCGGGGTACATCTGTGGACATTTTATATCTATGTATTTACATGGAGAGGCACGTAATAAAACTATAC